TCTCTCTCTCTCTCTCTCTCTCTCTCTCTCTCTCTCTCTCTCTCCCCCCTCCCTCTCTCTCTCTCTCCCCCTCTCTCCCCCCTCTCTCTCTCCCTCTCTCTCTCTCTCTTTCTCTCCCCCCTTCTCTCTCTCTCCCTTTTCTCCCCCCCCTTTCTCTCCCCCTCTCTTTCTCCCCCCTCTCTGTTTCTCTCTTTCTCCCCCCCTCTCTCTGTCTCTCTGTCTCTCTCTGTCTCTCTCTATTGTTGATGGTATCTCTTTATTTTTTGTGTATTTTTTTTTCTTGAAACTGTTAATTATGCATATGTAGGCTACTTTTATGTGCGTTTTCTAATGCTGATGATGTCTGTTTTGTGTGTGTGTTTTTCTACCGCTAGTGGTGTTTGGGTTGGGGTTTTTTCAGTTGTTGATCATTTCTGTTAATTTCATTGGGGTTTTTCATCTAGTTATTAAAATCGTTAATAATTGCCTGTTTTGGTGTTTGTTGTTGATGTTATTATTGTTGTTGTTGTTTTCTGTTGTGGGTTATGTCTGTTTTTGTTTTTTTTCCTTTTGTTGATAATGACTGTTTATTTGTTTGTTTTGTCCTTGATGTTGTTGTTTTTGTTGTTGTTGAATGATGGATAACGAACTTTGCGTTGTGGTTTCGTTGGCTCCGTCATTATTATTTTATATTCTTGTTGTGGTATTGTAGTACTTGAGTAGGGGGCTCTCGTGGTCTAGAGGTTATGGCGTTTGCCTCTCATTCAAAGGTCCCGGGTGCGAATCCTGATAGCGGCAGAAAATTTTGTTCTCTACAAATTTTTCCTCTCCTGCTCCTCTTCTGTCGTCTGCTTCCGTCTCCACTTTCTGTCCCCTCCTCAGGGCTCCTGGCTCTTTCTGCCGCCTTTCTACTGCTACTCTTCTTCTCCTTCTCACGGCTGTCTTTCATCCACACCCCTGATCGTGTGGTAGGTAAGATTCAACACCTAGCCTTCTCGGATCAGGGCGAAAAGTCTCGGAGGTCCCGTGTGCATGTTGCACGAGTTAAAGATCCCCTGGTTGTCCTCAAATCGATAAGAGTAGCCTTCGGCCGCCACCCGGGCAAAATTCCAAATTTCCTACCAAATGAAAAATGTTAAGTGTGTCCAGCATGCTCATGTGACCCAATGCAGTTGCGAGCGCCGCAAAGCACTTCCCAAAAAAAAGTATTTAAATTGAGTTAAATAGTCGAATTGTTGTTACCTTTAAAATATCAGGTGTGATAAGTCATACAGTTTTTTAAAAAATCTTCTTTTTTAAAAAACATTTCCAGCCGCAACGTATGAAAAATAAGAATATAGAGCGGGTGTCTTAGAGAAGATCTTCTTTTCTTTCCCTTGGTTGTTTCTGTCTGTCTGCTCTACCCCCCCCCCCTCCCTTGCGCTATATGGCCATTCTCGTGTCGATGTTCCTCTCTGTATCCAAGCAAACAAAGAAACAGGTAAGCAAGCAGACTTTACTTTTTACTTTTACTTTCATCCGCTGCTTTTGGGTGTCGCGGGAAGAAAGAAACGTCTCTTTGCCACCAGCCGGAGAGCTTGGGTCAGGGGGATGCCGTGACTTGTTAATGTTTCCCTGACTCCATCTATCCTGATCTTTCTCGGTCATTTAAAAAAAAAATGTAGGCACGTTGTACTGGGTGGTGTGTTGGTAATCACATGAGATGTCTGAACCTTTTGATTCTTTATTGTTGGATGTGATGCAAGACATCATTTGTGCCCACTATTTCTCTGATTACTGTGTTTCTAATTTTGTCTCGCCTGGTCTTGTTTACTGCTTTTCTAAGGCATCGCATTTCACATGTTGTAATTCTTTGCTCTAATGTCCTTTTCGTGGTCCACGTTTAACATTGATA